GCTCCCCCTCCACATAGAATTTGATGACTTCAAATTCAGCCCCCGGTAAGCATCCGTGAAAAGTTTTGGTGGGTAAGGCGTTAACACAGGAACCGGAAAAACTGGAAAGCTGAAATTTTAAAGTGATGTTTTCTGACAGTCGTGGTGGCCAGTCTCAATTTCTCTTAGCACTTGCCGGGACAGTGCCAACAGTGACAAAAACCTGCGGGGAATTGTGCAAAAACGCATTTTTATAGCGGTAGTCGGTGAGCTGGCCAATTATTTTTAGTATGTTACGAACCAGCGACTAGGCGGCAACTGGCAATTTTTGCAGTTGCTCTGACCAACGTTGCAACGCGCGGTGTCAGCTTTGTTGAAGATCTGCTTATTAGTTTTATCTCCTGAACGAAATACTAGCTGAACGTAACTCCTGGAAGAAGCACATGCAAAAGTTGCAACTGTTCAAGCGTCGTCTCATCGACATGCTATACTTAGAGCATTTGCGAATTACAGCTCTTCCAAGTCCAACAGTGAACCCAGGGGAAGAGTAAGGAAGATTAAAAAGGCCGCCAGAGACGTACAAGAAACAAAAAAAAATGTTAAATTTGATCGGGAAAAAACAGTTAACCAATGAGAAGTAAACTTTAACAAAGGTAGAGCAAACCACTGATAAAGTACTGCAAAATTTGGCTGAGGAGCATCAATACTAGCTGGAATTTGTGCTAGGATCAAAAAGCAAGCTCGAAAAGGCAAAGTAGAGCGCTAAAAGCATCGGGTTTCACACGGATTAGAATGAAATTAAAATTGTAATAAGAACTGGTGAATAGTTTGAAAAATTAGAAAATAAGAAAATAAAAGCAAACTGAACGGTGTTAGGAGAGAATTAGAAATGAACGGGACCGGGTACGGGGGACGAGGAAAAGAGATTCGAGCACACTCGTACATTCCCAATTTTCCTGTCAAACATGTGCCACATTACTGGCGTAAGCAAAAATTGAAGAGTTCTTGGGTTTCAGTATAAAAGTGGCTTTGAGATGAGAACTGACTGGAGCAGAGTGAAGTTGCCGAGGACTGTCTGGATGTGCTTGTGGAGAAGTTTGCGTTC